GTCTATAACCTTTCGTTCATTAACCTTTCGTTTACGTTTTCGTTGTCATTGGAAACATATGGCTCTAACGAGGTTGTTTGTTTTTTTTAGGCCCATTTACCGCAGTCCAACCGCCACAAATGGCGACCACAACAGCGCCACACGCAGACACAGCTATCGCCGGGCATGTCCATAATGTATCCCGGCGGTGGAAGTCCCCACTTTATGCACGAGATCAAGGTGGAGCAGGCTTTCATGGATGTGGACAGCCGGAGCAGCCACTGTCCCTCGGTGGACTACAATTTCCCATCGCCACGTTCTAACAGCACCGTGGACAGCATTTCCACCCATGCAAATCGGACAGACCACTAATCATCTATATCTTCCCGATGCCTCAAACTTTCCAACAAATCCTGGCAACAGTCCGTCACGTTTTAATGGTGGCACCATGACGCCAATAAACAATAATAATAACAACAGTAACATGATGATGAATAACAATAATAATAACAATGGCTTTGTAAGCCTAAAATTGAATGCCATGAACTCACCGACTCAGGACATGAAGCAGGTATTCCAGCAGCCACAGCAGTACCTGCCTCCACAGCAGCCAGAGCAGCATCAATATATTCCACAATCCCAGCCAGAACAGATCCAGTACCCGCAACAGCAAGCAGCAGCATCATCAACATCAACAGATGGCCAGCAGCAATCATTCAGCGATCTTATCCTGTCCAGCACATTAATGGATCTCGGAACCATTGACACCAACGAGTTAATCCAAGGAATTGACGAAACTCTCAGCAGCTTAGGACTGGCAGGAGGAACAATCGGTGGAGCCGCCCAAATGAACAACAATTTTGCAAATTACTAAATGTACGCGTATACATTTATATATTCATAAATATACCACAAGATTAACCAAATTAGAGTTATGTAAAAAAAGGGTCTCAAGGACAGGTTTTCATTTCCCTTCAGCCAAGAACCACACTTTACATAATCTTTTATACATTGTACATAGATATTTTGGCTAGATAGCGTATAGAAGGGGTCATGCGAATCTCATTGCCCCGATGCCTTGTTACGACTTTTCTTTTTATGTAAATGGAGTGAATTCCGTAATTATAATGATTTATATAAAGTACGACTTAAGATTTTACATGGATTTATGTGTGCTCTGTGATGAGGAGGGAATGTGTGGTTATAACCAAAGATTTTAAATAATCGACATGCTGAAATTTTAAACTTTAAATTTGTATGACTTTCCTCACCTATGCTATGCTAAATTTTGTTTTAGAATGATTTCTTTGGCTCAATACTTATAATTTGTCTTCATACTACAAAAAGGTGAGGAAAATCTTCTAACTAATGACCGATTTCGACAAAATATGGTTGACCAGCTTATCATTATTCTCGTTACGCATGCCGGCAAAGAAGCGATTGATATCCTCCTCTTTTCTTGCTTTCGGCGAAGGACTGCAAATACTCCTTTAGCTTGTCCTTCATACGATTGTATTCGGTAATCGCATCGATTTGCTGTGTCCGGTCAATGGAGGCCAAAGCCCGGATGCCCTGCTCATAGCTGGAATTTTCTTCCGCACGCTTCATGCCGCGCTCCTCGTACGTCTTGGCCGAGTCCTCGGTGTCCCAGCAGAAACTCCACGCCAAGCTCCTTGTAGAGCGGTAGGCATTCGGAGCACTGGCAAAGCGATTTGCGCCAGTCATTAGTCCAGAAAGCGGCTCCTTAAAAGAGGAAGGAATGGAAGAGCAAAGGTGGTTGAAAGGGCCGCTGGCATTTCAGGTCAAACTCCTAACGAATGAAGTTGATTTGATTAATTGCCCGACTTTAAGGAATGTTGTTTGATTAAATAAGTGAAAGTTAAGCAAGACATTGTGCAAATGTTATTTAATATTTTGTTAGAGTACTACTAAAAATAACCCTTGCTGGGTATTATAATTTCAGTCAGAAGCATAAAAAGTGAAGAAAGCATTTCCGACCCTATAAATCATATATATTCTTGATCAGTATCAACAGCTGAGTCGATCTAGCCACCAATTGTCTTGAAATTTTTTCTGCAAGGGTATAGAATTTTCCGCCTCTCAAAACAAGCTTACTTGTGAGGTATAACTACATATGTAGCTCCGATTTTCCATTCAAAATATTCCTAGGTATAAGCAAACCCTCAAACACAACACATTTAAATTATAAAAAAGACTGCATCATGAATCTGGAGTACTTTAGCGAGGGCCTCGACTGCCTGATGTACTGCGGCATGAAACTGTCGCCGGAGCAGCGTATCCTGATTGAGAACTCACTGATCGCCTTGCAAAATGACAACCGCTTTTCGGGCATGTATTTGTGGGGCCGCATCACGGCCACCAAAAACGATTACTATATTGCATTTGGTTTCACGAACGATTGCCTAAAGGATCGCAAATACTTTTACAGTCTGGATCAGTTTCAGTGGCAGCTATTGCCTTTTGTGCAAAGCCCTAATATCTTTCAGGCAACTATATTGGCAAGGGAGCCATTTATAGGAGATCCCAGCATTCAAACCTACGTTAAGTTGGTAAGATAGCTTTACAAGGATTTACTATATACAGGAACTAAATGAAAGACAATGGCTTTTAGGATCCCACTTTCGATATTGTAGGAAATCAGGTGGCAGGCATTAGTCGCCCTGAAGTGGTCAAGCTCAAGGAGGAGGAGCGCCTGGCGGCCATTGTCTTTATTATCACCGAAGAGTGTGCCATTTGCCCCCGTGGCGCGTTCTACAAGATGACCGATAGCCGCGTGATACCCAATCCGATGTTCAGGGGCCTAAACAGTCTGCAAATGGATAACCAGTCTTATTATCAACTATACCGTCTGCCCCGTAACGATCTCAAAGTGAATTTGGCCAAGAGGAGCGACTATAACTATGCTATCGACTTCCTGGACACCATTGATAGCGTTATTCCACTAGGTCAGGCCTTTGCCTTGAATTTGCAACGGAACGAACGACTGGTGGTGATCAAGTCTTGCCTTTGGATGGGCATGACCTTCTTCCACAAGATGGATTCCCATAAGCATGGATTCCTCTACTTGGGGATGGCAAGAAGAACTTTGATTTGCTCTTCATGTATTGATTTTGCTTAATAATTATGGTTGTTTCCTGCATGTACTTAAGTTTAGTTAATAATTTGCCATAAAACTCACCCTGATGCTCCTTGAGAGGCGTGGGTTCGCCAACCTCTGCCGCTGCTGCATCGCCTTTCTTCTCCGAAACGTTCATTATATCGCAGATGCTACGATCTAGCTCCGACTTTAGTTGACCTTCATCCTGCTTTGGCTTTAAGTCCTCCTTGGCTTCTTTTCCTCATCACCCTCAACGGGCTGCAAGGCCAATCCGGTATAGTCCTTAAGGAATGGTACAGCATCCATACAGCCATCGCAGATCATTTCACTGCAGGCATCCAGCCACTTCTCGCTGGCGCCCGGAGCCTTCATGTGCGGCAGATGGTACCAGTCCTCGCAGATGGCGCACTGCAGCATCACCTCTTCGACGGTGCGTTCGGGATCAGGATAAGGACGCTTGCAGCGGCAGTAGAGCCCTTGGAAATTCTGGTTGTACAGATTTCCCTTATTGGCATCCTGAGCGCCTTGCAGTTGCGGATTCAGGGAGCACTTGCCCAGCTTGCTTGTGGGACAGTCGCAGCGGAAGTTCCGCTTAGTATAAAGCTCCACCAGTTCGTGGTTCTCGTGGCAGCGGTAGGAACAGGCCAAGCAACAGCCGGCGGCTTTGGTAAGGTCAGTGCGTGCCTCCGGGCAGCAAGTGAGGCAGGAGTACAGGGCCTGCCGGGCGATGGGTCCCTTTGCATAGGTGCAGGACTTCTCGTCGGAGGCGCCCAGCACCGCGGCGTACTCGTCCTCCAATTCCTTCTCCTGCTCGAGCACATCCACCATTGTGATGGTCGATTGCTCGTGCGGATTTCCATCCTCGCCCTCTGGGCCGGCAACACTCGCATTTAACTCGCTCATCTCAGTGGTGGTCGGATCAAAGTGGTGTCTAACTGTTGTTCAAAGGTCTGAATTTCGTGGAAGTGTAGGAATGCCAATTGTTTGGCGCGATTTGGACGCGGACGAAAATTGCAAATAATTCGAAACAGTGTGACCGTCACCGGGGCGGTGCAAAAATACCAGAAGAATCTCAAAAATACTAAGATTCACCGCTTCAAATATACCAGACATTGCATCTTAAAATAGCTAGATTCTTTCAAATGAATTCAACAGCAGAATATATAATTTAATTTTTAAAGTCTTTTATAAAAACAAAGAAATCATTATTAATTGCCAAATATGTCAACTAATTCATTTATACCATTGCAGATGTGAGATTTTGGTCAGAAGCTTAATAAACAAAGAAAGAGTCATTTTCGACCCTATAAATCATATATATCTTGATCAGGATCAACAGACGAGTAGAACTAGCTATGTATTGCAAAAATTAAAATTTTTCAGAATTAAAAATTTTATAAGGGGTTACATCGTTAAAATTTTAAAAAATTTACAAAAAATGTAATATTTCATTAAATTTAAATAAAGTATGCAGATTTATAAATCTCATAAAAACTAACATAAAACAACATTCTGAATTGAAATTGATTCATTGTAAGCTTAGTTATTGTATATTTTATGATAATTTTAATCTACACATTGATCAAAATGCAAACTGCAATACTATACAAACTTCGGATCCTAAAGTCAGTTTGCTTTCCTTTTTATTTTAATGTAAAAAAAACTTCTGGTGCCAGACGGAATTTGCATGGTTGGCATTTAAAAACGCTTACTTAAATAGGGATTTATTTTATTTTTTATTTATTTTAAATAATTATACACGAAATATTTGCTTAGTCTGCGTTTATTAAAATGCTTGTTTCCAGCCATAAAATAGCTAGCTAGCATATTTACACGTTTTCCAACACTAACGCAGCAAATTTTCTGAGCGTGCGGCTGATTTTTATAAACAATTGCAATTTTCTCAAAATAAAAACTAATATAAGCCATTAATTATGAATGCGCCACCGACCTTCGAATCATTCCTGCTGTATGAAGGCGAGAAGAAGTGAGTAAACCATATTTGTTCCACAAAATGAACTCATTTAACCGAATTTGTTTTGTTTTGGCGCGGTGGCAGAATCATAAAGGAATTGGACACAAAAGTAACAAATGCGGCGATATTTACGATAAACAAAGAGGATCATACTCTGGGCAACATGATCCGCAAGTAAGCTGGTTAATTAATCGCTATAATTATGGATATAAATCACTATTTGCTCATGCAGCCAACTGTTGAAGGATCCCAATGTTTTGTTTGCCGGTTACAAGGTTCCCCATCCCCTGGAGCATAAGTTTGTTATCCGGATTCAGACTACGGCGGACTACTCGCCCCAGGAAGCATTCATGAACGCCATTACCGATCTGCTGGCCGAATTATCACTTTTCGAAGAGCGATTCAAAGTAAGATATAAGAATTTGACATGGATTGTGGATGGGGGCATTAATGAATCCCTTAGATGCAAGGGTTTAAAACCAAAGGCATACAAGAGAAGCCTACTTCCAGTCCAAGAAAAACATCGCTGCCTTAATCTGCTGCCCAATCCACTAATTTGTAATTTGTAATTAAGTAATTTAATGAATTTCCTTGTCTAATATATTTATATTATTTTTTCAGGACGCTATCAAGGAAAAGAAGGAGGGTGGAGATTAATTTAATATTTTCATTGTAGCATTTTAGTCTCATGTAAAAACCCCGAATAAAGCGTCTTACTTCACTTTATGAATTTTATTTTTACACTTTTTTTACAATAATTTACGAAACGTTGGCATTATATCGAATTAAATAAATAAAAACAATTTGAAATAGACTATTATCCACGATGTACACATGCGAGGATAAACGCAAAATCACAATTTAAAATAATAGAATGTTTTTCGAAATAGTGTGAGTGAAGCTCAGCGCTCGAGGTAAAAGTTCTAATCAACAAAGTACAATAAATTTTTAAAAAATTGTTCTAAAGCTAATAGGTCTCATCATCTGCACATTCGCTTGTATCGTGGCCAAAACTGAAAAGGAAAATGTGATTAGCTCATCTTAAAGAATAGGTTCCTAACCATCAACTTACCCTCGCAGGACTCGCAGTATTTTCTGGGTGCGGGCAACTTGCGTTCCTTCTTCTCATTGTTATTAGCCTCAGCGGTGGGTGGAGGCGAGTAGTCCCGATCATCACCACCCTGGATGGGACAGTCCTCCGTCTCGTGCTTATCGAACTCATCGCAAATGTCACAGAAAAGTCTGGGAGCTGGTTTGCGCTTGGTCAGGGCATCAAAGGCATGAGGTCTGAGGAAATTAGTAAATTTAATAAATAAATAAGCTCAAATTTAAAATTAAAAACTAGCTCACTTGGTAAAGTCCATGGGCAAGGTCTCTAGGGTCTGGACTTTGGCCTTGAGGGCATCATTCTTTTGCTGCATGTCTGCAATGATTGAGTTGAGGAAGTTGATCTTCGCCAGGCTGGTCTCAGTATCTAGTGTCTATAATTAAAGAAAAAACAATAAATATAGGAAAAAAGGATAGTTAGGTACCCCTTAGTATTACCTCCAGTTCATCGCCCTTGCCTGACGGGGTGCTACCTGCTCCATTCATCTGGGTCCTCAGGGTTAGAATCTCTCTTGACTTCTCCAACTCGAGCGATTCCAGTTGACGCCTTAGCTCCTTGGTTTCCAATTGGCAGTCTTTTGGGCTTCGTTGGCTTGATGGAGAGCCGCCTCGAGCTCCACCACTCTGTTTTGAAGCTGTTCCAGCAGCTTGGACTTGGTGGAGGCCGTTTCATCCATTTCATCGATGACTTTCTGGTACTCCGCCAGCTGGGTATCGAACTCATTGCCCTTTTCCAAAAGAATTTGCTTCTGCTTCAGCGATTTCTGAAGTTCCTCGTTGGCTAGCTTCAGTTGTTCCAGCTGCTCCAATAATTTGGATGTTTCCTCTTGAAGATTCCTCTCCTTTTGCTGTGCCTTTTCCAGCTTATCCTGTAGTTCGTTATGGCTTCCCATTTGAGTTTTGAGTTGGGAATTACTTTCTTCAAGTTTTTCCTCTAAGCTTTTCAGTGTCTCTTCTTTTCTGGTCAACATTTCCTGGAGTTCGCCATTAGCCTGCTGCTGACATAGATGCTCCGAAGCTGCCAGGGACTCGCCTTGCAGGTTTCCCTCGTTTTCCAAAGCTTTCTTGAGCTGCTCCTGCAGCTCCTTGTTGGCGGCCTGCTGGGCTTCCAATTGCTGCCGGGCTGCCTCCAGTTTCTGTTCGAAGTCCTTAACCAGTCCCTCTACTTTCACCAGTGAATCGTTGACTTCGCTATTTGCCTGCTGTACTTGCTGCAGTTGCTCCGATAATTTAGCAGCTTCTTCCTGCAGAGCCTTCTCCCGCTTTTGTGCGTCTTCTAGCTTTTCTTGAGTTTCCTTCGATGTGGAGCTGTGTATTTCCAAATGAGTATTGCTTTCTTTTAGTCTCTCCTCTAAATTCTGTACAAGTTCATCCTTCTTCTTCAGTAACTCAAGATGCTTAGCTTCGGTTTCCTGAAGCTGCTGGAGTTGCTGCTCAATTTGGCACTCTGTTCTTGTAAATGGTTCTCCTTCTTTACAGCTTCGTGTAGTTTCTCTTGGATTTCCTTGGAGGAGCTTAACATGCCTTCAAATTCGGAACTGGCATCTCTTAGTTTACCCTCCATGTTCAGGAAAGTTCATCTTTTTGTTGAGTGTGTCCTGAAGTTCTCCTAATGACTGTTGGAGTTCTTTGAGTTGCTCCTTTGAGTTTAACGACTCCTGCTGCAGGCTCTGCTCACTCTGGGTCACTTGCTCTAAACATTTCTCTAGCTCCTGGTACTTTTTCTGCCCCTCATCCAGTTTGGTATGAGTATCCTTCAGCTCATTCTTCATAGCAGTGAGTTTTTCAATCAAACGCTCGGCGTTCATGTCAGCCTCCATTTCGAAAAGCTCAAATATGTGATTGGTTTCGCTTTTCTCTGCTTGAAGGACCTCTAGAACAGTGGAGAGCTCCGCATTGGTGGCTGATATGTTGGCGTTGGCCACCTGGATGGCTTCAACGAGGGTTTTAAGGTCGGCTATCTTTTGAGCATCTTCAGCAGCCATTTTCTCCTTGTGCTGGATCTCAGCATTGGTGATTTCCAGCCGCTCCTGCAGATCCCTTATTGTCTCTTGGGAACCATTGTTTAGCTCTTGATTCTCCTCCTTAGCTTTGGTGACTTGATCCTGAAGTGTTTTAATGGTTTCCTTCAACGATGCTTCTTTTCTTTCGGCCTCTGCCTTGAGCTTTGTTTGGGAATCTTCACTGTATTGAAGTTGCTGGCGGAGCTCCAAGAGTTCCTTCTCCTTCTGCAACATCTCTTGACTCCAGACATCCGCCTTGCTTCAGCTCCTTCTTGCCGGTAGCCAATTCCTCAGAGAATTTGGATAGCTTGGTGTGCAGGTCGCTTGCCGAGGATCTCTCTGCCAGGAGCTCGGCATGTAGCTTTTCGGTGATCTCCTTGATCTGATCCTCCAGATGTGAGGCTTCCGCTCGGGATTCAGCGTATTCCTGAAGAAAAAAATGTATTTAATATTTGTTTGAATTAATTAATGACATTACTCTACCTTATTGACCTTCTCGAGAGCTGCATTGGCTGCCTCAAGTTTGCTTAGTCCTGGACTCTACATCTGTCTGGCTTGAGCTTAGAGCTGATTTAGTTTGATTCACCTCCGATTTCAATTCGATAAGCTGTTCTTGGAAATAAGCCAGCTTCTGGGCTTTTTCCTCAATCGCTTCATTCGCCGTCTCCAGCTGTTTGCCCTTGATTTCCGCCTCAGATTGACTGGTTTTCAAGTCCAATTCAGTTTTCCCTGCCTGGGACTTTAGCTGGCTGATCTCCTCCTGCAGTTTGGCCAAGTTCTTGGCCCCTTCCTCGTCAGAAGCGGCTGCCTGTTGCTGGAATTGCTCCAACTGCATTTGTGTGGATTTGAGAATTGCTTCAGTTTCAGATGATTTGGCTTGGAGTTTCTGGAGTTCCTGTTCTTTGGTTTTAATGATCGCCTCTTGATCTTTTTCTGTGCTTCCAGGTCAGCTAGTAATTTTTCCTGAGCTTTACTGTTCTCTTCCAGTTGCTGCTGTAGTTTTTGCAGTGTTTCGTTGGCTTCAACCAAATTAATATCCTTCTGGGCATTAATATCCTTGTTAAGATCAAGTTGACTCTTTGTTTCAGTATGTTCCTTTTGGCAAGCTTCAAGTTCGGATTGCTTGGATGCCAGTAGCTGATCCACGGATTCTTTTTCTAATTTAATTTTACTAATTTCCTGTTCAGCCTTTTCCCTGATTAGTTTTTCTGATCCGCGACTTTCTTGGCTTCAGTCAATAGATTTTGTAGTTGATCTCGTTCCTCCTGCTTTTTCGCAGCTTCTTCTTTGACTTGGATCAGTTCCTTTTGGGTTTGCTCAAGAATCGTGGACTTTTCGTCACTTCCAGCCTGCTGTTGTCGAAGCATGTCATCCAGAGCAGAACTGTCGGCCTTTTGTACATTTAACTGCGTTGTAAGCTCATCAAGCTGTTGATTTAGATCCTTGATCTGCTCATCCCGCATTCGGACTTCGGTCTGGAGTATTTCGCACTCATCGGTTTTGTTAACCCGCTCGCTTTCCAGGGAATCGGAGGCAGCCTTCAGGCTCAACAATTCGGTGTAACCTTTTCCAGCTCCTCGGCCTTGGCTGCCAGCTTTTGGGAGAAGTCCGCTTGTGCCTCCTGGGCCTGCTTCTCGTTCTCCTCCTTGAGCAGCGCCAGTTCCCTGCGCAGATTCTCGATTCCACTCTGAGAGAGGGAGAACTTCTCCAGCGACTCATCTTTGGACACCAGTTCGCCTGCAGCGTTGCATTCTGTTCCTGCAGGTACTTTACGTTCTCCCTTAATCGCTGCTCTTCCTCCTGCTGCTCAGCAATTCGGGCTTCCGTCTCCTTCTGTTGAACGCTCAATTTTTCCTGCAGCTGAGCAATCTCCTCCTTAGGCCAGTGTCCTCCGGGGGCGAAACGGGCGGTGGAACACTTTGCAGACTTGTGAGGCTGTGAAAAATATTATATGTTTAGAAATACTTCTCTTAAATGTCAATTAAGCATATTTCTTTACCGGACTCTAGTAGGATGACCTTTGACTCCAGATCGTGTATCTTTTCCTTGTACACTTGGGACTGCGCCTATTATAAAGTAGAATGCATAATTACTAAAACGTCTGATCAAATTGTATTTTAAACCTTGACTTGAGTCTGAGAGGTCTGAAATAATGTAATAAATGAATTTCAAAGTAAATTATTTCAAACTGGTTTATTACTCTTGCTTTCTTTGAATGTACTAAATGCTGTTAATCAAGATTTAAGCTTTAAATAGGTTTAATAACACGATCCTTAAATACTGAATTTTTAAAACTAATATATTTGTATTTTAAATTTAATATTAATTAATTAATAGTGGTCGTTTCTGACTCGGCTCTAAATATTGGCTTCGAACAACCAATATTTCTATAGCATACTTTCAGTTCAAACAAAGTAATCTTTTTTCTAAACCAAAATTTTGTTTTACCCTTGCAAATAGTATAATATTAGTCATAAGATTTAAAACATTTTTGACAGATTCTTGATAAGCATCTACAGTCGATTCAATTAGCCATGCGTTAGTTTCTTCGGAATCTAGTCTTAACTTGAGGATTGTATTTGCACATATTATGCGTATTATAAGTATAAAACTTTGAACCTGCAG